AAAAAAAAAAAAAAAATTATACCTCTTCTTCATCACTTAATTTCCAATCAGCTAAATTACCAATATATCTTCGCAACTGAAAATTGAATTGAATAGAATTAGAATAATTATAACGAATTATTATCGAATTATTGAATAATAAAATGATAATTTATATTCCCTTTTATTTACCCTTTTAACAGTTCCGACAATATGTGGATGTTTCTTCAACATTAAGGGATCAATTGGAAGTGATAACATTTCATCCATTGCTTGCAAACACTTATCCGGATATGCTCGATCTAATCCAAGATTGGATTTAATTTGAGCATCCAATTGTAAAAGTTGTGCTTCAATACGAAGCCATCTGAAATTAATAATTAAAATCTAAAATTTTGTCAAAATTAATATTATTCTTATTATTACCTTAGTTTATTTGTTTTACGATGAAGTGCACCATCTTTTGCTAACAATCGTTTTTCTTCATCTGGAACATGCACATTAAAATCGAGATAATCTTTTATTTGTTCTGGTAAAATTTCACCGCTTTCTAATTGCGCTTTCATTTTCATTGCATTTCTAGCAGTGGACCATTCCCATTGTGCTCGAGCCTTTTCGCTTTCAAAAGATTTTGGCTTATCCATGTCTAACTTGATTCCTACATATTCACCAGCAAATGTTAATGCTAATAGAACTCGTCCCGGGATATCTGAAGATGTCGCACCAGAAACCACAGTACCTTCCAACATAGGTGTTTCATCTAAATTATTTTTTTCTGTAAAATATATGATATTTAAATCTTTATAATTTAATTTTAATATAACACATTATTTTTATATACTTTTTATATACTAACTTTCCAAAGCTCTTTTTTTATGCATTGTACTGGGTGTTACTTGATCATTAGAATCTTCAATCTTAACTTTAGGACGACCTCTTCCATGTTCTACAATATATTTATAATAATATATATATATATATTATATTAAAATATTTATAAAAAGAATTCTATCAAATTCTATCAGTTTAATTAGATAAAGCTGATAATATATACCATTTTTATCTGCAATATCTGTTTCTTCCGAACTTGAAAAGTCAGCAAATCGTTTGGGTTTAATTTTTCTACCGCTCCGACTTACAACTTCTTTAGGTGATTCTTCTCCCTGAGAATCCAATGCATCTTGTTTCACTGAATCACTTGTAGATGCAGATAAAGATTTTGCTTTTCCGCGTCTTTTCTTTACTTCAGGTGCATCCTAATTTTTAAAAATTTTTTAATATCTCATAATATAAATATTATTTTTTAAATATAAATTGTATATAAATGTAAGGAACAATCGCACAAATTATTTAATCTTGATAAATATTTGTCGGCAATTCCTAAATTATTATTGGAGTGCTCAATGCAATAATTGTTTCTTTACAAAATATTGCATAAATGAGAAAATACTCCTAATAAAATGTATACATATATGTTATGTATGTTTACATTTACAACAATAAATCTAATTAATTAAATATATATTACAGCAGTAGAGAAGGTTCTCCTTTTCATAGATTTCTTTTTTTCTTCTTCATCAATAACAAGAGATCCTGTGTCCATGTCACTATCTGCAGCACTAACTGTTGGTAAATTATCACCTTCTTTTCTTGTTTCTTCAATTCCAGCTTCTTTAATTAAATTAAATTATGAATTTATATATAGCATTTTATATATATTTCAAATTTTATATATTTATTAATATTATAATATATATTATATATATTTTACCTTTAAGATCAGCAAGATTTGATGCTTTATTTCTATCATTTTTAAGCTCTTGTTCTAGTTGTACTAATCCTTCATGAAAAAATTTCCTTCGAAGTGGTTTGCCAAATTTTGCTTTATTTTCAATATAGGTATATAATTCTTCCACTTTACACACAGCACTAAAGTAAATATTTAAAAATCTCAATTTATTCTTTTATTTTATATATATTATGTTTATATAAATTTTAATATTATTTTAAAAAATTTT